GGGTCTTCGTCAATTTTGGGCTACACCAGAGCTACAGACGTCATCGGTGAAAAATTTTGGTCAACCTTCTCAGGACTCTTCCTCTACGGAAAACTGTCCTATTTGGAATCTTCGGAACCACTTGGAAATATACTTTAAAGACAGTGCAATCGTTCCATATACAATCGTTCCATATACAATTTCACTGAATATCGAATAGAATCACTTGGCGAGTTTCGGTTTGAATTGATGGTGGCATTTCCTCTGACCTATCCTTAGCCATCTTGCGTTTTCTCGTCTCCAGCTTAGCCAATCGCTCCAAAATTTGAAAAGAAGACTAATAAAGTAATTGCAAAGAGTTTCATATTTTTAGATTTACCAAAAACGAATTGAAAGCCACCAGCTGACCGAAGTTTTATTAATGCCCTTGTATAACCCACTGCAGATAATTCATGGAACCATTTTTGGATTAGTCTCAAAACTAAACTCACGCAGTTATTCCCTGGATTATTTGAATGTTATACAGAGTTGAAGTATTTGGTACAGCCTTAGTACATCGCACTTTTAATTGGATCATATTTTTGGTATGGATTGTGGTTAGTTTTGGATTACTCCATTATCATTGTGGAGTAGTTACCGGGTACTTTTAAGTTTAATTTTAATTTTATTTCTTCATATTCCTCTTATAACCTCTAATGGACATGCCATTCTCGGGACTGAATTTTTCAGACGTGATCAGACTAAAGCGTGATTTAGGCGCAGCCAATAAAAAATTTACAATTAAAAATTGCATGCTTCGATTTTAATTTATTCAAATTTCTTTGCATCGGTTTTATTATTTTTTTGTTTCCGTCTGGGAAATCCATTAATTTTAGAAAGCACAAAATATGTAGTCAAATCACATATGTATGTACAAAGATAGCTTAATATGAGCTTATAATAAAATAATTTGTCTAAATTCTCAATTTCCTTTTTGGGTGAACATGATTATTATCACATAAAAAAACCGACATAAACATGGCTTATTGGCCTTTTTTGTATTGTATATATGTATGATAATTATATAAACAAAATGATATACGTATGCAAAATGATGATTAATCAAAGGCGCTACGTCATTAATTACAACAACAACACGATCAATAGCAAACTGGTAAAACCAAGCGAAAAATACTTGCAAAGCACGCAAACCAGTGGTGAGAATATTTGATTCCATATTCACATATGTATGTACATTATACTTATATGTATGTATGCATTTAAGCAAATTTATAGTCAAAGAGTATACATAAATTTATATATGTATTATTAATTGCTATATTTATGAACATTTCATTTTAGAAAATAAAAAAAAAATAAACTAAATCTTCTATTATTGACCGACTCATGCGAAGCAGGGCAGAGCATAACATAAAAAAATATTACATTATTTCTTTTTTCTTATTGTCTAAGCTAAAAGTCATGTAGTGATGTTAACAAATCTGTAACCTCAGATATCAAATAACCAGAATAGAGAAAAAGTGAACTCCACCACCAACACCTTCAATTCACTATTCCATTTTGATAGTTTTATTTATTTTTCTTTTTCATTTTAAGATACTTTGCTTATTGTTTATTTATAGCCTGAAGTAAGTACATGCACATACATATATCATTTGATTTTCTTGGCTTTATTTCGCCGGTTGTTTTTAATTTCCAAAAACAAAAAAAAAATAATAATAATTTTATTTTTATTCTCTCTTCTCTACTACTTATTTCATTGTTATTTTTCTTGCTTTCATTTCGTACATTTCATATTGTAATTTGTTGTTATTGAAAGTGGCATCAGGTTTAGAATCGTTAAATTTCAACAAAAAATTGTAAAAACCTGTTTCGCATACAAATTAATTGCGCTCGCAATGGATATGTTTGGGCGAAGGCACGTATGCGCTACGAGCAGTGGAGTTGACTATTTGGCACTTGCGTGAGTTGTTGGAATTTTGAAGAATTAAGAAATTACGAGCTGTTTCAGTTATTAGAAAAATATAATTTTAAATTCCCAGATTTTCCAAAGTAAAGCTAAAATGGAGGAGATTACGATAACACACGTGGTACGGTCAGTCAATGTTGCCAATTTTCTTGGTTAAAATCTTTGCCCTAACGAATTGTTTCGCAGTTAGAAATTTATATTTGTAAATGTGTAAATAAAAAACTCCTTTGAAAATTTTTCAATGCGCCCAAAATAGTGTTATGCCAGGCGATGTTGCCAAATTTCTACTCAAGGGAAATATGGCGAATTTTCTTTCAAAATTCTTTGACATTCCCAAAATAGAGTAAATGATAATGCTACCAATTTTTTCTGTTAGATATCCATTGAGTTTATTAAAAAATTTTTTCGCGAAATTTATGTGCATTTGTTGTACGAGAGCCCAAATTATCTCATAAGAATTTCATTTTGAAATTTATTTTTAAATTGGTAAAAATAAATACGCTAGACAATGTTGCCATTTTTTTTTTGAAAACAAATGAACTAAATTTATTAAATAAATTTTAAATAAACATTTATATTTGTTATACTCATACTCAGTGGAAATAAGGGGAATTTTTCAGTTTCAAAAAAAGTCATGCCAAGCAATGTTGCCAATTTTCCTTGTAAGAAAGCAACAGCATGTATTGAAATTTTATTCTTCAAAATTTATATATATTTGTTGTACTCATAAAGGGAATTTTCCTTTTTTTGAATTGCTTAAAATAAAGTTATCCCAAGCAATGTTGCCAATGTTCCTTGTAATAAAGCAACTGTATTTATTGATATTTTATTTTTAGAAATTTACTTATATTTGTTGTACGAGCACCCAGCAGAAATATGAATTTTCAAATTTTCTAAAAAAGAATTTCATTTGAAAATTTATTTTGAATTGCTAAGAAGAAATTATGCCAAACAATGTTGCCATTTTTCTTTGTGAGAAACTTTAAGATTTTTTTTATTGTAAACTTTGATACGAGTTGGATCTTAGGTAACTTTATCAATTTTCACTATTAAAATTTTTAATTGCTAGAAAATTACTTTTAAAAAAATGATATCTGCCAATTCTTGAATGACAATTTTTTTTTTGCTCTGTTTAAAATTGAATTATGAAAGGTCATATTGTCAATTGCATATATCTTAAATATCTTTACACGAATCCATGTTCGTTGTATTTAGCAATAATGCGGTAAATTTTTTAATAAATATATATACTAAAATTTCTATGATTCCTAAAACAAAATTTTTTCACAAAAAAATTACACTTTTTCTTAAGTGTGTTTCACAGCGTTGCCAATTTTCAAAATGAAATTTCTACCATTAATGGAGCGGTGGTAAGGTTGCCAATTTTCTTTCCTATTCACTTGCTTTCTTACTCATAAATTAACCAGAATCTACTCAATGAAAGTATTATTATTTCATTTTATTTAAACAAAGCTGCTACTTTTCCAGCTTAAAATTTTCTCTTATGGTAGCAACTGAAAACCTTGCATGGATTTTAAAAATCTCAGCTTGTGATTTATATTTGTAATTATATTCCCAATTTGTTCAATATTTACTATAAATATTATAATAATCAGAACATATTGGATATTTTTATCATGCAATTTTTTTCTGCAGTCGTTTCTGAATTTCTAAAATGGTATTAAACTAGAAAATGTTTGCATCTATTTCAGTAACATTTACAGTTTTTGAGAATTGTTTTTGATACCAAAATGCAATGTGACCAAATTTCTTTTTAAAAATTTCCTGAGAAAAATGGCAGTGCCAAAGTTGAAAACTCTCCAAAGGAAACCCGTCTCCCGTAGTCTTGGCAATTTAGCCAATTTTCGAGACTAAGGCAGTTTTCTTCTAGTTGCTGCTCGCATATCCAAAAATTGCAAATGACTTCACGTCCCGCAATGCTGCTGTTTTTCCTAATAAGAATATCAACTTGACGGAAGTAATGTGGTTAGACTGCCCAAGGTTGTCAATTTGCAAAATTGTAAGCTTTCCCGATGAACATTTTCTAAAGTTTCCCCATTTTCTTTAAATCCATGTTGCCGGTGTAGCCAACCTGTTAAGGAAAATTCTATGAGAAATATAACCAATATTAAGTTGCAAATTTTTTGTTTGTTTGTTTTTCCAATTTCTTCAAATCTATTTGCAAGAAACTAACGAATATTTTTTTTCGACAAATTTTTTCGTAGAAAATTTTCTTTAATGAAAATCAGAAATTTCCCTATTGACTTGTGCTTTGCCAATTTTCTCGGGATGAATTTTCCCATTGTAAATTCGCACTAAGTAAAAATTCACATTGTTTTGATTGCCAATGCTGTGTTCACTATTTTCCACATGAAAATTTTTTTCCTGGAACATCTCGAAGTAAATTTCATTAATTTTCCATTGCATTTTTTTTTCGAAGATAACTTCCGCTTAACTATTCAAACAAAATTGTACATTTTATTGAGATTGAAATACGCATTGTTGCCATTTTTCTTTGGAAACAAATAATGAATTTGTTTTCTTTTGTGATTTAGACATAAAACGCGGATATTTTCTATCCAAATGCAAACCTATCACAGTCTCAAAGCATCTCAAAGCGTCTCAAGACCGACTGTAGAGCGTCGTCACAAAGTAAAAAGTTTCAAATTCACTTACTGATTGGGAGAAGAACATTTTTCGCACATCGAAATTTCATGCCTCAATAATATGCAAAGTAATCAGTGAACACATCACAGCGGTCTGACGAGCTGGTAAGCTCAGCTGGGGATGAGAGGTTTCCCCAACAATGATGTAAATATGTAAATGTGCATATGTATGTCTGTTTGAGTGTACGAGTGAACAAGCAAAAGTAAGTTGATTATTATTTTAAGTGAATTATCGGTTAATCCATAGTCAAGACTTTTTTTTCATTCCCCACCGCCGGGGGAGATGAGAGATGAGCGCGAGGCTAACGAAACTTAAGTTTTGCCCTGTTTGTTGATTGTCATAGTGTTTTTGTTGTTCCCATAGAGAATATAAATTGGCGTTTAGAAGGAGTTCTATAAAAGCGCATCTCTGCTCGTTGAGTGAAACAATTGAGTTTCAACCATGCGAGTGATTGCAGTGTTTATTTCCCTAACAACCTACGTGGCCTTGAGCAACGGTAAGGGTGCCGCAGATGTGCGTACGGTAGTTGAAATTTAAAAATTTTGTATTTCTTATTTTTCTTCTTGGCAGCTTATGGCGCATCACATGGTGGTGGCGGCGGCCTAGGCCTCGGCTTAGGTTTAGGCGGCGGATTTGGTCTTGATCTCGGCGGCTCTAAAGGCGGTTTACTTGGTCTTGGATTAGGCAGTGGCGTCAGTGCTAGTTCGTCATCTTCTGCTTCAGTCGGCAGCTTTGGTTCCGGATACGGCGGTGGTGGTGGTGGTGGCGGCGGTTATGGCGGAAACCGCGGCAGTGGCGGATATGGTGGTGCAGGTGCTGGTGGTGCTGGTTTAGGCGGAGGTTTTGATGGTGGCGCAGGAAACGGCGGAAGTGGATCGGCCTCGGCCGGCAGTTCAGCTAATGCTGGTGTTGGTGGTGGTGCCGGTGGTCTTGGTGGTGGTGCCGGTGGTCTTGGTGGCGCTGGCGGTCACGGAGGAGCTGGAGGTCATAGTGGTGCTGGTGGTCTTGGTGGAGCCGGTGGTTACGGCGGTGCTGGTAGCTCATCATCCGCAAGTGGTTCGGCCTCCGCTGGTGGTTCCACTGGCTCAGGCGGCGGTTCTGGCGGTGCTGGCAGCGCTGGCGGTTTTGGTGGTGCAGGTGGATATGGTGGTGGTAAAGGCGCAGCAGGATCAGGTGGATATGGTGGTGCTGCCGGAAGTTCTGGAGGTTTCGGTGGAGCCGGTAGTGCAGGAAGTGCCGGAGGATTTGGAGGAGCCGGTGGTGCTGGCAATGCTGGTGGTTTTGGTGGAGCTGGAGCAGTCGGTGGTTCATCTGATTTAAGCCTTGGCGGTGGATTCGGAGGTGGTGGTAATGGTGGTTATGGAGGTGGTAAAGGCGCAGCTGGAGGTCATGGATCCGCCGGTAGTTCTGGTTCTGGATCTGGTGGATTTGGTGGCGCAGGAAGCTCATCATCTTCTGGTGGATTTGGTGGCGGAGCTGCTGGTGGTGCCGGTAGTGCTGGCGGTATAGGTGGTGCTGGTGGCTACGGTGGTGCTGGCGGTTATGGTGGCAGCAAAGGTTCAGCTGGAGGGCATGGTTCATCATCCGCTGGCGGTTCGTCTGGTTCTGGACTCGGTTCGGGATTAGGAGGAGGACTTGGTGGTGGATTTGGTGGTGCTGGTGGTCAAGGAGGTGCTGGTGGTCAAGGAGGTGCTGGTGGTCACGGAGGTGCCAGTGGTTATGGAGGTTCATCCTCAGCTGGTGGTTCTGCATCTTCCGGCAGTTCATCTGGATTTGGTGGCGGAGCAGGTAGTGGATTTGGTGGTGGTGCAGGCGGTGCCGGTAGTGCTGGAGGTGTTGGCGGTGCTGGTGGTTATGGTGGAGGCAAAGGTGAAGCCGGAGGATATGGTTCGTCATCCGCTGGCGGCTCTGGTGGTGCAGGACTCGGTTTAGGATTAGGAGGAGGACTTGGTGGTGGTGCAGGCGGCGCCGGTAGTGCCGGAGGTGTTGGCGGTGCAGGTGGTTACGGTGGCGGCAAAGGTTCGGCCGGAGGATATGGTTCATCATCTGCTGGCGGTTCTGCTGGAGCTGGACTTGGCTTAGGCTTAGGAGGCGACCTTGGCGGTGGAGCTGGTGGATTTGGTGGCAGTAAAGGTGGTGCGTCCGCTGGCGGCTCAGCTGATGCGGGTGCTGGCAGCGGATTTGGCGGAGGCGGTGGCGGTGCTGCTGGTGGTTTCTCGGGTGGCGGCGCTGGAGGTCGGGGAGATGGTCATGGACATGGTCACGGTCATGGACACAAAAATCACGGACACGGTAGTGGTGGTGCTGGCGCTGGTTTAGGTCTCGGACTCGGTCTAGGCCTTGGCGGAGGCCTAGGTGGCGCAGGCGGTTTTGGCGGTGCTGGTGCAGGTGGCGTCGGCGGTTACGGAGCTGGCGGCCGTGGTAGCGGGGGTGCTGGAGGTGCCGGAGGCTATGGACCTGGCGGTTTCGGAGGCTCAGGCGCCGGCGGACATAGTGGCGGCTTCGCCGGTAGTAGTGGATTTGGTGGTTTCGGCGCCGGCGGGGCTGGTGGTCATGGTGGTGCTGGTGGTTTCGGTGGTAGTGGTGGTTATGGAGGCAGCAGTGCTAGTAGTTCAGCGCACTCTTCAGCCTCAGCGTCAGCTTCATCTTCAGCATCTGCTTCATCTGGCGGTGGCTACAAAACAGGCTACGGACGATGAACAACACTTAGCGTATATTCAGGTTTAAGTGATCCTCTGTATTTGTAATCATAGGAATGTATGTGCTTATAAGACAGAAATATTGTAGTTTTTTGTGTTCGATTGTAGTTGAAAATATTTAGCATTATGGATTTGTATTGTGATCGAAATAAAGGAAAACATAAACTAAGTAAACAAAGTTCTCGCAATGACTTCTAAACCTGGCTTGTTGAGGTGTGTCTCGACTAGAGCTCAGCTAACTTATGATGGCGCGTTTGAAATGTGTTGGAAATTCAAAAAAATCTCAGAGCTGAAAACAAAGTAGTAGAAACGAAGAGTAAGTATTCAATAACTCTCCAAAAAAATACGGGTGTAAGAAAGGTTGAGTGAAGACCACTCTAAGTTCGTGAAGAATATGGGGAAGACAAATAGAAAACGGCAGGTGAGGGCTAGTAAAGCTGTAAACAGAAATGAAGGGCGCAACGAAGAAAAAATTCGTCGTGGGTTGCAGCAATAATGTTATTGGTTCTGCGGCAAGTTCATCGATAGCAGCGGTTCTCTAACCTAGAAGCCTCCAGTAGTTACGATGTTCATCATCGTTTCAATGGCTAATCTGCAGAATAGATTTACTGTAGTTCTGATATTTGGATGCTACAAGTGGCATTTTAGCCCCCCACCCCTAAATGGCTGTTGGACATTCTACTTCTACTTCCAGTAGACAACAGAGACCAAGAAGGCTTCCAAAATCGTAATGGTGGGGAGGGTCTTTGGAACTTCCTTTTTTCTAAAATTAGGCCATAACAACAGTTACTGATAATGGTTTGAGCTATCGAGAGATGATTCATAATTTTTTATGACCGCAATTTGATGGAATGGATCTGCTACCAACAACCATAAATTTATTCGAAAAATTTTTCTCTCGAAGTCCCGCTAGGCCGACTCATCGAAGTTGCACAGTGCTCAAGCTTTTGCACCATATAACAGAATGGTAATGGTGGTCGACTTTCCTTTTGAATTACCTACTGATTCTAAAGTTCCAACTTTGGCAAAAGGATTCTGTGTTAGATTTCAAGATGACATTATCATGTTAAGATTTTTCTATGGTAGTTTGGAGTTTTTCTATATGAGAAAAGCCAGGGAGCTTACTAAATCTTTTTGTGCAAGAGGATAGTACTACAGAGACCGTATTTCGGGCCCACCGCCGAAGTCGATTAGAGGTTATTCATTTGGGTATGTATTGCAGTGGAGGCTAATTTTTCCGACAGTTTTGAGGAAGATGCCTGACGTTAAAGTAACCAAGGATAGATTATATTTGCTCACATCCTGCTTTTCTTCCATTGGGGACTGAAGGCATATGAGCAAAATGTAGAAAATTTTCATTTTAATACGGAGTGAATGTCACTACTCGGCGACGAAGCCTCTTTCTCACCACTAATCTGATATTTAAATAACGTTCCTGTATATGGTCGCTTAGGCGACCGTGATAGCCGAGTGGTTTGCATTACGTGCTACTACTCAGAAGGTCAGGATTCGACCAACAGTCAAATTAAGCTCCCACCTTCCATGGCAGTTCTTGAGCATCGACCAGCTGAGCACCCGCGAAATTAAAGGACTATAGTGCATGACTCCAAATCTTGATCCTTAAAATGTTTTCGAGGGTTTCTTCGAGTATTTTTTTTTTGTTTGTCTTCTCACTTTAGCTCGCCTCCAAACTGCTGTGTGTTGGCTACCCAACAGATACTTAGCATAAGACCGCAAGTTTTAAACTGCTTGAGTCATATGCAAGAGAATCGTATTTTACCACTCTAAGTTAAAAAATTTTGCTCGCTGGCATGAACTTCGACATACACAAGGGTCCATCACCGCAATTAAGTTACCTGCTTAATATCAGTTGATCATTTTATTTTGTATTTGACAGCTCGAGTTCCGCACGAATGTAGTCGTAATGAAAGGCTATGCTCATATGTATTTGTCTTTTTATAACCAAAAAATTTTTGCAAATTTTTTTGGAGACTTTTCGTATGGGACTTATGAATGGGTGCATAGGAAATGAAGCGGCATTTTCCACATAAGTGAAAAATATCTTGCTTACTTTTAACTGATATTCTGTCACTAATATCACATTAAACATTTTGGAGACTTTGTAGACTTTTAACAAAAAATTGAGAAAAACTTTATTTTCTCACTAAAGAGTGTATAATGTTGTTTAAGAGAAAACAATTTAAGGAAAAGTAGTACACAAACATTTTTGGAGACTTTTTGAATACAAATTTTAAAGAGATACAGTGTTTGGGCAAGCAAAAATACGTATTATGTTTAAAGAAAATTGGTTTGCGCACCTCTCCTTGACATTTATGGTCATTCAAATTTTTGGAGACTTTGTAGATTTATTAAAAAAAAATAAAAAAGATAGCTCAATTCAAAAATGAGTAAAAAATATTTATATAAAATATGAAAATAAACAAAGAAAAAATAAATTTAATGCTATGTATGGGTGAATTTTATAGCAGAAAAACAACAGGTCTTGAAACCAAAGATGATATCAGTCTAAAAATTAAAATGACAATGGAACAAGCCCTTGTGGCCAAACCTCGAAAAGTTCGAAAACCAAATAGTTAAAATTTCCTTAAAAAAAAAAATAAAAAATTCTCACCCTCCCTCTCTGCATTACGTAAACTAAGAAAATGGCAAACTGAATATCAAATTAAGCAATAACCGCAATAATAAATCAATTCGAAAGGAGCGCAGTCTACGACAATCGTTTGCTTGTTGACAGTAAAACAATACAAATTTACGACAAAAGGGAAAAAATAAAATAAACAAGCGAAAAAGTTGAGCCAAGAAAATTTTCGCAAGCCACGCAGGACCCAACCAGAAGAAGCCGTGTCAAACACTCAACACACAACGGACAGCGTAGAGCGTGACTACTCCAGCGAGGAATTATTGCAGGTAAAAGGACACACGTAACCAGGCATATATGCATGTAGAGGTAAGTGTATCTGTGTTTGTATCAAAATCGCATTGCATAAAATCAAATGCCACCAATAGTTCAGCAAGTTCTGACCAAATAACGGTGCAGTGTTAACATCAATTTATTGTGTGCATTTTGCTGTCTGCGCAACAATGCAACAACGGATTAACGGTTTACATATCAGTGACCGTGTGTGTGACTGTGTGTGTGTGTGTGTCCAATGCTCGGTTGCTTGGTTGGTTACTTGGGTCATACTACAAACGTCCAGTCAAGGAAATATTTAGTAGCGAAGGGATATATATTAGTGCACGCAAATGCAGTAAACACGTCCGTCATGAAAGCGACCGTCGGTTGGTCAGTTAAATACGAAGTTAAAGCTAAAAGAAAGTTAGAAGGAAAGCACTTAAAAGTCAACAACTGAACGGGTGGAGCGAGTGGTAGAGCTAAACAACAAAAAGCAGTGAGACAAAGCAATATTTCAAATGGCACGAGCCGCAGGCGACACACGTTCTTCGATGTTGCTGTGGATTCGTTGCTAAGTTTTTATTGAAACAATGACTGTGCTGCAAGATATATGTATTTTATTTTTCGGCAGTCTGTTTTTCTATTTCTTTTGTTTAATGTTTAGGGGTTATTTGGTCTCTAGTAAAATTTGCTTCCTTGCAAGCTGACAAAATTTCTATTGCCCTTTTCTAAAAAAAAAAATGTAAAATTAATAATAAAAAAGAAACTAAAAATCAAACAAAAACCTTAAATTTTAAGAGATGGTCCTCTGAAGGTTCTCCCTATCACACTGTGTGCTGTGTGCTTGCGGCGACCACAACAAATAAATTATTGCAAGAGTGAAAAATTTGTTAGAGAACACACGTGATGAGCGGTCAACGGTATTTGCTTCTAACGAAGCGCATGCAGCTGCAATACAACGTTTTATTCTATTGTATTTGCCTAAACCGTTATTGCTGAGTTACAAAATCAACAAAATTTGAAAACGGTCGCTTTATTACGAATATTTTTGAGTTAAAAATCAGAGAGATAATGACGATGTGACCAAGGATACCTTTTATGAGTGCATGGAGCGTGCTCAAGAGCGTTGCCCCTGCTTGGCAAATTTAACGCCGTGATGGGAAAAGGCTGTCGGGGCCCAAAATATGTCTGTCTGTAGCACTAGATTCCAGCACAAGAAAATAAATTAAGCAACTGGGCTGGTTGAAAAACTCACAACCATATTGTTCACATTGCGATAGGCGGAAGGCATGCCTCCAATGTTTTAGATGTGCCTTAATTACGAAGTGCCAACATCGATTCGGATTACTATCTTGTCGAAGCAAAGATACGTAGCCACCTCTGTTTATCAAAGAACGCATCAGCAACTTGGTATAAGCGAACTGTGGGATGGCATTTCACGCTCCCTGCATATAGCTCCAAACGAAGCTGCCATATCGCAGTGAAGAGAAAGCAGGCTCCCCCGCATTCTTGTACTCGACCACAATGCGTTTATTGTGGGTTAGATACTGAGAGCTGAATAGGGAAGCAAGAGGAATAATCAGACAAAAACAAAGTGAGTATGATGAGTTTGAGAAGCCGCCCGACGACTTACAGAAGGTTTCAAGACCAAAAAGTGACCGGTATTCACAAGAAGTAATAAGAGCATGGCCGACGATTGGAACCTAAGTGTGCTTTGGCTAATGCATAATGAGAGCGATCCAATAGTCTGCGCTAATAATCGTAGGATAAGCTTCCTTAATATCACAAATAAGGCCCGTTGGAACGATTAGCTGTACGAGTTATACAGCGACATTTATATATGAGTAGTTCAGTGAATGAAAAAACAAAGGTTGTGCTATTTTATTTTATAATTTTTTTATTTTATTTTATTTTATCTTATTTTATTTTATTTTATTTTATTTTATTTTATTTTATTTTATTTTATTTTATTTTATTTTATTTCATTTTATTTTATTTTATTTTACTTTTTTATTATTATTTGTTTATTTTATTTTCAGTTATTTTTATTTTATTTTATTTTGTTCTATTTTACTTTATCTTGTCTCGTTTTATTTATTCAGTTTTATTTTATTTAAGTTAGTTTAATTTAATTCACTATAGTATTCGGAGCAGTACCCATTGGTGGAAGCAGATAATTAATTCTACTTGCGTTGGCGGTGCCTCTACACATTAAGAGGGAGAAGACTCTATTTCCAGAAAGGAGCTCTGCATTGACAGGAATAAA